CTTTTCTCGGGGCTTCCAAAGCTCCTCCCCACCCATCTCATCTGGACTTTCGCCCTTGGCCTTCCAGGGCATTCTCCAGTTCAGCAAGAACTCTCACAAAGGGAGCTTTTCTTGGGAACAAATCGTCTGTTCCCCTCCATGATTGTACAGCACGCTCCTCCCCATCCGCTCCCCTCCCTGATTTTCCAGCACAGCCCTCCCTCGCCAGCAGCAGGTTCTAGTCCTGGCTCAGGATGCCACCCCACACTTGCCTTGGGTCTCTGCTGCCTGTGTTTTCACCATGACGAGGAAAGTCCCAAGGTGTGAACTTGGTGTGCCGGGAAGGGTATTCCAGGTGCTTTCTTCTTCCTTCCCATGACTGGCTGCTTCCAGCAGTTAGCTGATTTTATCTGGCTGGCCATTCGCTCTTGCTGCTTTGTGTGTCTCATTTAGTGCATGTCCATCCCTAGCAGAGATATGCATTGAGCAGTATAGTGCTTGCCGGTCAAGCCTAAAGCACGGAGCCTACTCTCAGCAGCTGTGAAAATGCCAGGCAGGGTGTCACGTGCTTGTAATCCCGGCACTGGAGAGGTAGAGATGGAATAGGCCAGACAACCTAGCAAAATCGGCAAGCCCCAGGTCCCAGTGGGAGACCCCATCTCAAAAACAAACAACAAGGTGATGGTTGTTCTGAAGGATAACATCCGTGGCTTGTCTCTAGCCTCCATGTAGATGCACACATGTACATCTTCCATGCCTTACCGCTAGTCTCCACATACACGTACACATGTGCATCTAACAGAGAGTGGGAGGTAGAGTGGGCAGGCGGTGCATGTGCATGTATGAGGGCTTTGGCTTGAGCTGGGAGTGCTGGGGGCTTAGCTGAAGTTGCACCCCGGCCCCCAGCTGCCCTGCTCTGCCCTGAACTCTAGCATTTTGGCTGCCCCGTGAGTGGGGCAGGTGGGAGCACTTGCAGGTAGGCCCCTGGAGCGGAGTGAGTTTTTCTCCTGGGCCTACACTGACGTTGGAGCTAGCACTTTGTAGTTACATGCTTCAGGCTGACCCAAATATCAAATACAACACGTGACTCTGGGACAGCCTAAAGATGAAGAAGAGGACGTGCCCAGTTTGTACCCACTTGGCTGTAGATTCTCAGCAGGGGCATAGTCTGCATTTAAGATCTGCTGACATTTGAAGGCTGCGGCCCCAGAAGCTGGACCTCACATGGTGACTGTTGACTGTAGGAAGGTGATGGTGACAGCCGAGGAGTGTGTCCTACCCCTTTACACACTGGATCTTTCCCAAAGATCACTCCTAGTTTCCTCCACACCCACAGGGTGCTTGCTGTGTTTACCTGTGCTATTTATAATCGCTGCGCCAGTGGGAGAACACTTACTTGTGTCTGCAGGAGCTTGGGGAAGATTTTTTTCAGACTCCTGGGCCGGACTTCAGTCTCACAGCAGCTAGGGCTCCAGAGGGCAATCTCCTAGATAATAGCTTCTGGACCTCAGGCGGTCAAGGAATCAGGTGGTCAAGGCTCTTCCAGTGTGAATGGACACATTCCTTGCCTTGAAATGATTTGTATTACTTGGCCAGGCCCACACGGCAGAAGGAAGTCATTCTGAACTTGAAATGCCAGGGAGAAAGACATGTTTTCCCTTCATGGACCTGTCCAGCCCCTTTCATCCCCTTGGCGTCCTGCTGAGCAGGTCCTGGCACGGCCCTTGTGTATTTTCATCTTTCTTCACACCTCTCCTTTCCTTGAGTCCTGGTTTCTGTTGCAAGTGACCCACACTCTTATTTTAGTCTTTCAGCTATGAATTCAGGTCTGACCACCTGTGCTAGTATTTGGAGTTGAAGAAATTAGAATGATTTGAGAGTTAGGAGGGACCATAGAGGCCACCCAGCAGAAGTTTCTCACTGTGAAGTAGAGGATCCCCAGCCTAAGGGTCCTTGCCTCTGCCTTTGTATGGGCACTGTCCTGACATTGCAGATCACCACGGACAAGGAAGGCTACTCGTCTCCCAGAAAATGGATGCTGTGTGAACTCCTGTAGATGGTCAGTGCTCCCAGGAGGTGGATGGTATGTGAATCCCTGTAGATGGTCAGTGCTCCCAGTAGCTGGATGGTGTGTGAGCCTCTGTAGATAGTAAGTGCTCCCAGTAGATGGATGCTGTAAGAACCTCTGTAGATAGATGATCAGTGCTCACAGCAGGTGGATGCTTTGTGAGCTCCTGTAGATGGTCAGTGGGCTCCTAGGCTGCACAGAGTGGGACCATGCCTCTAGCAGCTCTAGCATGGCTTTAAATGTCAGATGAACTTGAAGTGTTGGCAGACTGACTTCTTCCGGCACAAACCCATCTAGTTACACAGGGTCCTGTAGCTACAGTCAGAAGGGTCCCACCTGATTTAATGCCCTGCAGTCACTGCCTTGAGATTCTTAATCTTTTGAACAAAAGCTTCCTTTTCAATTTGCCCTGGGCCCTGCAGACGATGTAGCCAGTGTTGAATGTAGGACAGTGCATTAAAATACCAAGGATTCGATCAATCTGTACTTGCAACTGATTTGAATTTGGGGAACAGGCTGTTCCCTGGGAATAAAGGAGGATTCATTTCTTTTCCCTCGAATACACTGTGTTCTGTTTTCCCAATTAGCTGTACTTACCAACTCTGCAGAGGAATTAGATGGCAGGATTGTTCTTGCTAGAAGCGAAGGTTGGACTGTTGGACTTGCGTCCTGGCTCCGATCTTTCCTTTCAGAAGTGTGAATTGGGTTCCCACAGTGGTGTGGCCTATAGAGGGCTGAAAGAACGGGGACTAAGAAGGGAGGCTACAAACGCAGAACACAGACATCTATCTGGGAGTCGCTGTGCATGGCTTGGCCTCCTGCTCTGCTGTTCACCAGCTCCGAGACTTTTCGGGGAGGTGGGGAGCAGCTGTGGGGTCTCCTGTAGCACAGGCTGGCCTGGAACTTGATAGGAAATCAAGGATGACCTTGATCGTCACTCTTCTGAGTTGGGGATTACAGGTGTGGTTCCAGATTTAGCTGTGATACCTAGATTACTGTGTAGTACCAGGGACCAAACCCATAGGCAGACATTTTTAAAAAAAAAAAGATTTATTTATTTATTATATTGAACACTAGAAGAGGACACCAGATCTCATTACAGATGGTTGTGAGCCACCATATGGTTGCTAGGAATTGAACTCAGGACCTCTGGAAGAGCAACCAGTACTCTTATCCTCTGAGCCGTCTCTGCAGCCTCCTGGGATTGAGCTGCATCCTCAATCCAGTTCTGGGACTTGGAATGACACACTTCCCTTCGGTATAGATTCAGGCATAAGAGCCACCCTGAAGGCTTGGAGGGAAAACTAGAGGGAACATCTGTGTCTAGTATTGTGCTTAAGCACACATAGTCTTATTGGCTAGTATTGCCTAGTATTACACTTCCAATATTGAAAGCTGGGTGGGATTTAACTAGCTGTAGGGAAGAATAAAGTATTCCAGGCAGGAAGCAAAATGGGTGTGAACACCATGTTTTGGGGACTCAGAGGGCGGGGACTAAAATTCTTAGAAGATTCCAAAACACTGGAAGAGCCACTTGGAGTTGTTACCAGTCACTGGCCCCCAGTGTTGGCTAAGCAAGATCTAGCCGGTGATAGCAGAGACTTTGGCTTTGGGCAGTAGTGCTCTCTGTGTGGTATGTCATTTAGGATAGCTACTGTGTGACAGAAGGACAGAGTCTGTGACAGCTCTGTTAGTTTTCGTCCTTATGACAGAAACCTTGATGAGAACAACTTAAGGGAGAAGAGTGGTTTTTGTTCTGTTGTTTTTTAGACGAGATCTTAGGAATCTCAAGCTGGCGTTGAACTCAGTATTGTAGCCAAGGATGACTTTGAGTTTCTGGTCCTCCTGCCTGTCTGGAGTGCTAGCAACTACTGCACCCAGTAACCTAGGGCTTCCTTCGTGTTAGGCAAGCTGTCTGCCCACCGAGTTACATCCCCAACACCAAGGGAGGAAAGATGTATGGCTAACTAACTGGCTCCATTTCAGTGGGCTTGTGAGTCGCTTGCAGGGACTTGTGACGAAAGAGTCTGCTCATCTTATGCCAGCTGAGAAGGGGGTGACAGTGGGATGGGGGGAAAGGGAGATGGAGGGAGGAGGAAAGGAAAGATCTGGAGACGGAAAGATGTGCCCCAGTGATCTCCTTTCAACCAGGTCCCATTTCCTGCTACCTCCCAATGATGTCACCACATGATTACTTCATCAGTGGGCTAGCCCACTTTCAGTGATTGGATCCATCACCGGTTGGAGACCAAGCCTCCAACATATGAACCTTGAGGGGGACAGTTCATGTCCAACCCATAATACACAAGCTACTGCAGCAGATTAATTGTTTTACCTCTACAAGTTTCCCACATGTTAATGCTTTGCTATAGCCCTTGCCTTGGGGGGCCCTCATACATGGGGCCCTAGTTGGGAGACTTTCATTGTATGTCATCTTTGCTCTCCATCGTTCACCCTGGATATGTAGGGATTCAGTTCCCAAACTTTCCTGGCTTATGACAGTCTCAGTATATCTGAACTGTGTGTGTTCCTCTCTTTCTTCCTAGAAGACAGGTGTGTCACAGTAAATTTTTCATGGCATTTCCACGTCAAAAGAATACCAAAGAGTTCCGTTTGTCAAGCAGTAGTAGCTAAATAACTTCTTTTGTGTCCTTACAGTGTAGTAGTCATTGGGGAAAAAACAATTACATTTCATTTCACAATTCCCATATTTCCTATGAATGGGATGTATGCACCTCTTGGTGGCAGCTTTGTATCCACCTAGAGTTAGCTGAGGAAGTGTCACTTGGGGGATTGCTAATCAGATTGCTCTGTGGGGCATTTTCTTGATTGCGGATTGATACAGGAGGGCCCAGGCCACTGTGGACAGTACCATTCCTAGGCACAGAGCCCTGGACTGTGTACCAGCAAGTAGTGGTGTTCCTCCGTGGTTTTTGCTGGAGTTCCTGCCCTAATTTCCCTGACGATGGGTTTTAATTGTAAGATGAAATCAACCATTTTCTCCTCCGAGTTGCTTTTGGTTGTGGTACTTACCACAACAACAGGAAAACAAATGAGACTAGTGCCCCTTGGCCTTCCTGTATTACAGTCAGTACTACTTCCACTGTTTCCAATGTTAAGTAGTTTATCTGTGGTCTGTTCCTTTTATCAAAGCACCTGCCAGTGGCCTCCCCTTGTGGGGATAGGGGATTTTCCAAGGAATGTGGTGACACATAGTTTTGAAAGTGAACAACCTGGAACTCATTTACAAGATGTCCACTAGATACCGGCTATCACTGGGATTGGGAAGTATCCCATGGGTTTGCTGTATGCTCTGGGGTGCCTTGGAACAGACGTTGAGGATCATGGTGTTGGGCGCATCATGACTTTGTTCTCTCTGACTCTCTTCTTATCTTTGCATGGCGTTTCTGCCTGAGAGGTGAAAGAAACACGCATTTTCATGTATCTAAAACACATGCCTACTGTGCGTATATTGTTCTGAGAGATACTAAACAAACAAAAAGCCTCCTCTGTGATTTTCTTTATCGGTTTTCTTAAACATGATCGTGTGTGATGTCAGATAGTCAGCTTTGTGTTTGTGTAGTCAGGCTTCTCATCCATGGATTCAGCTGGCCACATAGGGCTCTCTCTGACTATCTATAGTCAATTTATTTACCTTTTTTACTTAGAGAAGTATCCCAGTGGACCAAGGGCTGCTGGGGCTGAGCATGAACTTGAAGTCCTAACATCCAGCTTCTTCCTCTAGAGTGGTTGGGATTACAGGCTCTGCTCACCCCACCATCCCATTTTAGGCAGTGCTGAGCTTGGAACCCAAAGCCTCTGCTGTGCCAGTCCTGCCTTCTACCCACTGAGCAACGTTCCTATCGTGATGTCATTGTCATCTGTCACTCATCTATCATCTGTCATCTATATCCTCACTCACTGTGTGTGTGTATATATATATATATAGTTTTCTTTATGAATATACTATATAGTTATATGCAATATATATGTATGTATATATATATTTACTTTTCTTATATGTACAGAAGAAACTTCTATCTGTACTGACTGTGTGTAGGCTTTCACCTTGTGAAAATTCCTTAAGCAGTAGTACAGCAACCATTTGTATGACATTTACACTGTATTAGCTGTGGTTAGATAGCTAGAGCCCACTTACCATGGGAGGAGGATGTGTAAGTTGCATGAAGAACACCATGCCCTTTACTTAAGGAACATAGCATCTGCTGAGGATCTCAGAAGGGTTAAGTTGCTGAACTTGGGGTCCTGATCTTTTCGGTAAGCATTCTGTAATGATATGGAAACTTCTCTAAACTGTGTGTTTCTCTCCTTCCTAGTAGAAAGAAGTTGTTGAAAGTAGTTCATACTCCCCACCCTCAGGAAACTAAAAGAAAAAACAAGAAAGAAAAAGGTCAAGTGTGGTGTTGGTGCACACCTTTAACCCCAGCACTCCAGAGGTGGAGGCAGGCGTAGCTCTGAGTTTGAGGCCAGCCTGGTCTACACAATGAGTTCCAGGACAACCAGGGCTATGGAGAGAGACCTTGTGTCAAAATGTAAAGAAATAAATGTAAATAAAGTGGTTAATACATACTGCGTGTAAGCCCCCAGAGATGATGGGTTCGACATTTATGAAGTGGTGTGCTTAATAGTTTATAAAGGAGAGAGACAGGTCATTTGCTTTCTTGAGATTGAATCTTGGAAGCCATGCACTCATAAAGCTGTAAGAAATTGTTAGTTGTACTTAATGGGCCGTTTGTTGTGTTAAAATCAGTAATACTAAATATTTATTAGCTAAGTGGAAAGATTTATCTCTGTAAATTTCTGTGACTCATCTTTCCGCTTGCTAATCTTGGTTATTTAGAATTTTTTGTTTAAAAATGAAGTCCTATTGTAAGTCATCCAACTTTTTCTTCCTGAGGCTCGCTGTGTATATTATGGGCCTTTACTGTCGACATACATTTTAGAAATAGGTTATCAGTTTCTGCCAAACTCCTGATATTTTCATGAGAAGTGTGTTTTAATCTGTACATCCACCTGGAGAGAATTGGAAATGTAGCCACATTGAGTCTTCAAACTGCAAGTCTGGTACTTTTCTGTATTTACTTAGGTCTTATTTAATTTGTTTTGACATTATTTTGGAGCATTCAATGGACAGTTCTTGGATAACCTTTGTTAAATATTCCCCCAAGAATTTTAATTCTTTTGATGTCATTATGGTATTTTAAAATTTTTGTTGTGATTATTTATTGCTAAATATACAATGGGTTTTGTATATTGACCTTTTTTCCTATGGCATTGAAACTATTTTGGTATTTTATTCCTAAGACTTTTCTAGAAGGACCATCATGTCATTTGCAAATGAACACAATTTGTATGCTTTCCTTTCCAAGCTTCATGCAGTTTATTTTCCTCTCTTGCTTCATTGTATGTGGGCCATCACTACAGGGCATCCAGGACCAGCTCTCTGTATAACTGTGAAACAATTAGGAAGGGCTATCCCCAGCCTCACAGACTTCCCTCCATGTGATTTCTACGCTAAGGGAACAATGCAGAAAGGGTGTGGGGTCATGTGCCTTAGTGTGCGCTGGACTCCCTGCCTTCTATTGGGTTGCTCTCTTGGTGTGAGCAGTGGGGTAACTGTGTGAGCTGGGAAATGGGCGATCCCAGGTTACCCTTCAGACCAGTGCAGAACCTCCTATCCCTGTTGTTTCACTGATGTGCAAGTGCTCACATCTTCCCAGAGCCCCTCTGAACAGCCATTCTCTTCTTAAGCTATATTCCAGGGCTCCATCAAACACTTCCTGGGCAGGGCTCATACATTCCCATTCTGTGAAGCAAACACTGAGCTCTGTGCTCTTAACTTTTTTTCTGACAAGGGACCAAGCTTAGGGGAGTAGAGTCTGGTCATGTGACTGAGGTCACACAGTAGTGGGTTGATGTGGGATGTGTCTCTGTATGCTGTGAATATGTTTTATTACCATTGGTTAATAAAGAAGCTGATTTGACCAATAGCCAGTTAGAAAAGAGCTAGGTGGGAAATCCAAGCAAAGATGAAAGGGAAGAGAAGATGGGTTGAAGGAGATGCCATCCAGCTGCCAAAGGAGAAAGATGTCTGTGCATAACCGGTAAGCCATGGGCCTTCTGGCAATACATAGATTAATAAAAATGGGTTAATTTAAGTTGTAAGAGTTAATAACAAGCCTGAGCTAATAAGACAAACAGTTTGTAATTAGTATTAAGCCTCTGAGTTATTATTTAGAAGCAGCTGTGAGATCAGGCAAAACACAGACAAACTTCCCGCTACACTGGGTATGGTGCCCAGAGCCCATCAGTGACCATTAGAGGGCAGAGCTAGTGTTTGGCATTCTTCCCTTGATGAGGGGTCTAGATGCAGCAGCCTTCTGTTCTCTGCATTCCCTGGGAAGGCAGAGTTTGACAGAGCCAACATGGCTTCACCTATGGGGTGGTGATGGTGTCTATCTGGGTTGACCATTTTACAAGGAAGACAGAGGACTGTAGTAGAGATCAGAGCAGCAGGGCCACCAGGGTGTCTGTAGACAGATGGAGGCAGCAGCAGCAGCAGCAGCTCCCTCCGGTTAAATGAGAGCAGAATGGGTCCCAACCACACAGCTTTGGCTCTGAAGCTGCAGGTGCAGAAGCCTCGCTCCTCTTTTCCTTGGGCTGACATTTTGTCCGTCTTTGAGCCATTAGTGGATACCCTGTGTTCAGTTGCTTCCGTTTGGTTTCTATGTGGATGTCTACCAAGTGACAGTCATGGAAGTGGGCAGCTGTATTGGCACTGTCTATGCTCTCTCTCTCTGATCCTTCTGCTCATCTACAGAATGGGAGAGCCGTGTATTTATTCCTAGAGCCACAGGCTCTTTGTTTTGATGCTTACACAACTCATCCTAGTGGCAATGGTCCCATTTTACTGGTGAGAAAATTGAGACTATCCTGTGGACTTAGGATGGGTCTCAGGCCTCCATGTGCCTAAGCTAGATCTTTCTTGTAACTTTTCTGGTGGACAGACTTTGGAGCCACTTTTCATACATGCTTCTCATTTGAGCCTGAAGAATCCCATATTTATGTTCATATTATGTGGGTCGATCATGTTATGCCTAATACTGCACGTCAGAAAGGAGAATCGAGTTAATTATCCTTCAAAGCAGGAGTCTCACAGCTGTGCTTCTGGTAGTTTCAGAATACCACGTGCCCTCTGGTTGCTGGCCAGCTGGAGTTAAACCTCCACTTGGTCCTTGCCCAGGAAGCTGGTCCCAGGAAGCCCAGATGCACTTGTTTACAGCTGTCTCTCCGTGATGTTTGCCAGACTCTGTGTTCAGAAGGAATGTGAATGTTCTACTCCCATAGTTCCATCTTTTATTTGGGTGTTCAGGGGACACACCAATTAATCACAACTACCTAGAAACCAGGGAGAGAAACTGGTGATTTAAATAAGCCCTTCCACCACTCCCCATAGGCATTTCAGCACTTGATTCCCAGTTGCTGGTGCTGCTTAGGAAGGTCTTGGTGGTACAGCCTTGCTGGAGAAAGTACGTCACTAGGGGGTAGGCTTTGACATTAAAAGCCTCTCACCACTTCCCACTTTTCTCTTTGATTTGTGCTTGTGGTTGAGGATGTGAATTCTAGGCTTCCTGTTCCTGCCACCCCCTCCATGATGGGCTCTTTTTTTGTTTTGTTAGTTTGTTTTGTTTTGGGGCTTTAGAGACAGGGTTTCTCTGTGTAACAGTCCTGGCTGTCCTGGAACTTGCTATGTAGACCAGGTTGTCCGCACACTCACAGAGATCAGTCTGTCTCTGCCTCCCGAGTGCTGGGATTAAAGGTGTGCACCACCACCTCGAGGCCCATGATGGTTTCTTGTCTCCCTGGAATGAATGTAAGCCCTAATAAATGGTTCCTTCTCTAAGTTGCCTTCGTCATGGAGTCTTAGTCACAGCTACAGAAAGTAACAGGATACAGAAGCAGATCCGTGTGATGCCACTGTGGAAGTGAAAATGCTGTGTATTTGGTGAAACTATGGAGTTGGGGGCGTTTCCCAGATTTTCCTCATGTTTATGTTCATCATTAAGACCATTTAGTATCCATGGAGGAATCCTTGCCTCAGTTTCCCCAAATATAATATTGTAACAATACTTATTTTTAAAGTCTGTAAGAAAATAGAGAGTTAAAAGGCTTTGGAAGTAGACATACTAAGATGTTGTCATGCATTTGTCAAACGAGTTTATCTCCCTAGAAGTTGTAGTCCTTTTCCTGAACCCGAGAGCATCACACCGTGGGAAAAGAGATCAGATTCCTTGGCTGTATCAAGCAGCTTAGGGAGGGGGAACCAGGCTGAGGGGGAACAAGAGAGGACTGGAGGCCTCCTTGTTTATGGAGGCACCATTCCAGCATGGGAAGCTGGTCTCTGCTGCATGACCCTTTGCCCAGTTATGTCCAGTTGTAGTACTGTGGAACTTAGTAGAGCAGGAATAATCTACAGATGCCCTGGAACTTCTCGGGAGCCTAGGGACATGCAGCTGTGGTGGGTCACAAGAGGACGGGAAAGGTTCCAGTTCTTAGCCCAGAGCTTAGGGAATGATTGTTTCCCTTCCACAGAGGGTGTGCGTGTGTGTATGCAAATGTGTGTATGTGTGCATATATGTGTTCTGTACCCGTGAGTGTAGGCATATGTGTAGAAGGGCATGTATGTGAATGAGTTTGTGTACCTGAGTGAGTATGCATGTATGTATGTGTGTGTTGGTACTTTAATGCATTTTGGCTCCCTCTAACCCATCTGTATCTTGTTCCAGGTCCCAGCACAGGCCCAGCATCACTAAACTGTCTCATCTCTGCTTTTGTTCTCAGGGCAGGAAGACCCCAACAGTTTGCGTCATAAATACAACTTTATTGCTGACGTGGTGGAGAAGATCGCTCCTGCTGTGGTTCACATTGAACTCTATCGCAAGTAAAGGATGCCTTCCTTTTCCCGTAACGTCTGAAGCTTTCAGTAATAAATGACAGAGCTATTTTTGAAGCACATTAAAGTGTCAGGAATGTCACTGGGTAGATTCCTATATTATGATAGAGTTCTCTGCCTTAGGAAAATTTCCCTACTTAAATCTATAATCTTGGCCCTTTTAATAACTTCTAGCTCTGAAGAGATTCCTAGGGAATATTTTCTAAGTGGAATTTTTGATGCATTCCAAAAAGTAGCTTAATGTTATTTTTAAAATGTTAAACACTTGCTAGATGTGTGTGGGTTGTTCTTGTAGAGCCATTTCCGTGTGTGTGTGTGTGTGTGTGTGTGTGTGTGTGTGTGTGTGTGTGTGTGTTTTGAGGTGTTCAGGCTCAGCTAATATCTGTTTCAGACTTCCTTTTTCCAAGAGAGAGGTGCCGGTGGCTAGTGGGTCTGGATTCATCGTGTCTGAGGATGGACTGATTGTGACAAATGCCCATGTGGTGACCAACAAAAACCGGGTCAAGGTTGAACTGAAGAACGGAGCCACCTATGAAGCCAAAATCAAGGATGTGGATGAAAAGGCAGACATTGCACTTATCAAAATTGACCATCAGGTGAGAAGCTCCTGAGGCTGGAGTGCCTCCCCCTCCTGCAGAACCCAGCCCAGATGCCCCAGCCTGCAGAGGGCGAGGACACCAGGGCTCTCTGGTACCTGGAGCCTGCAGGAACAACACAGAAGCTACAGGGACAGACAGACTGGTCTCACCAAAGGAGCCTGGGCAGGAAAAGAGGGACTCAGGAAGCCCCTGGGAAGAAGCTGCCTCTCAGATCAGAGGTTTTTAATTTAATGCACTAATTGTTTTTTTTTTTTTGAGGGAGAGTTTTTCCTAAGTGCTGGGGTTAAAGATATGCACCACTACCACCAGTCACAAACCAGAATTTTTTAAAAGTAGATTTTATCCTTATAAAATGAGACTATAGAGAAGTTAATGGTTAACTGGTGAAAACAGAAGCTCCTCTTCCTGGTGGTGGGGCATCTGTTACAAAGTTGTCTTTCTCCACATACATATATGGTGGCGCCCTGGATTCTTGGTGTGTAGGAAATGGATTTTAAAAGACTTTGAAGAATTATTTTTAATCATGTATTGTGTTTGTATGTGAGTATGTACTTAGAGACGCTGGATGCCCTGGAGCTGGAATGACAGAGGCTATAAGCCACCTGACACGGGTTCTCTATGACACTGGGTCTCTGCAAAAGCAGTGTGCTCCCGTAACCACGGAGTCGTCTCTCTAGCTCCTTGTCAAGCTTTCTATACTCAAGGTTTTGGGAACCTTAAGACAAAATTAACCTTTCTTCCTTGAGTCCCTTAGAATCTGTAACGTGCTGATGCGCACATAACCCCTGCCAAAGGGCTACAATTGCGATATCTTCCCAAGTTATAATTTTGTTTTTAACAATGTTTTTATTTTATATACTAATCCCAGTTCCCCCTTCCTCCCCTCCTCCCATTCTTCCCACTCCATCCTCCATCCACTCCTCAGAGAGGGTGAGACCTCCCATAGGGAGTCAACAAAGTCTGACACATCACATTGAGGACCAAGACGCTCACCCCTGTATCTAGGCCGAGCAAGGTGTTTCTCCATTAGGACTGGGATCCAAAGAGCCAGTTCATGCACTAGGGATAAATCCTTGTCCCATTGCCAGTGGCCCCATAAACTTCCCAAGCTACCCCACTTTCAGAGGGGCTAGTGTGGTCCTATACAGATTCCCCAGCTGTCAGTCCAGAGTCAGTAAGCTCCCGCTAGCTCAGGTCAGCTGTTTCTGTGGGTTTCCCCATCATGGTTTGGGGGTGGGCTGGTGGGGAGTAGAGAAAAAAATAAAAGTTAATAAAAAAGTCTTTAGATAGAAGGTAGGAGGGTCAGTGTTGGCGCAGTAAAAGCCACCGCTGGGTAGCTAATGAAGTATAACATCTTCTTATGAAGCTCTTGCTTGCCTCTCATTTGACTGTTAACTATGAAGTCAGCTAGGTGTGAAGTCCTACTATGTGCTCTGATTGTTGGGTAGACAGCTCAGTGTACTGTTGGGGCAGTAGGATGCCGGGTCGTTTATCTTTTTAAAAATAGTGTCAGGCATTCTTTCAGAAAAACCACAGGACCAGACATTCACCCCCACACCCAGCCTATTCGCTTACTTTCCCAAAGGCTGTGTGGTGAGGCCAGGACCGACGGCTGTAGCAGATACTGGCTCTGCACCCATGTGGGTGCCTGACTTGAGTGAGGTCACAGTTGCCACAGTTGCGTGTTATTTTTGCTAGGTTACTGTGGAATTTCTGTCAACAGTTCATCTTTCTAAATGTGTTTAGAACGGTAACAAGATAATTGAGCAGGCTCTGCCTTCACATTTAACCATTCTCTAATACATAGGGTAGCTGTGTTATTCCCATTTTATAAAAGAGAAAAGAATGCTCTGAGGAAACACCTGCTCCTTGTCATCCCTAGGCTGCAGATCCCAGGTACCCAACTCCATGGCCATTACCACAGTGACAGAGACTGGCCTTTACATGGGATGGAATAGTGCAACCTTAAATAGGTTGGCACATCCTCATTTAGGAATGCTGCTAGCAAGGGGTCTAGAATGTGGTGTTAGCACCGGAAGGAGGTTGGCCAGAATAGCACAGTCGGTGGCCACATGTAGTACCTTCAGATCCACGGAATTCATGGAAGACAGCCAGCATTGGGAGCCTTCTGGCCTTCTGCAGGCAGAACTCTGGCCTGCATGGTGTGTGAGCTGTCTCCTCAAGTAATTTCATGTTTGGAATGCGTGGGTGCATACCACGTGACTGCTTCGAGCCCAGGGATATTCTTTTCTGATTTTGAGCCAATATGGAGACAGGAGCCTCGTGTCACCTCTGGCATGGTCAGGCAAAATGTGAAAACTCTCAACAGAGGAGCTGGGTGAAGGGTTTCAGGCAGTCCCTAGGAGTCCAGTTCTTCAAGCCAGAAGCCTGATGTTTGACATGTGCTGCCCTCCACCCCCATACACACAAGGATGTTTGGAAATGTAAAATTGAACTGACGTAGCTTTGGAAAATGGAATTGGAAATGAAAGGCTATTACACTGCAGACACCCACATCAAAGCCTGATTTCGGACGACTACAACCCCCCCGGACTTTTTTGTGTTTGTGCCTGTTCTAATGAGAGTTATTTGTGGAAAGAGTCTGGCCTGACTTGTAACAAATCTTGATTGGGAAGGAACTGGCCACCCAGGTGAACTGAGTTCCTGCAGAATTTACCCCTTAGTGTGTGTTGTGATGGAGGTGTGGAGGGCAGTAGATGGGAGGGGAGCCTGCTAGGTATTGTGTCCTCTTAGGTAGCAACAAAGAAACAGGTCAGGGAACGTGGGAGAAGACAGCCTAGGATTGTGGGTGTGATGGTACATGCCTGAAGTCCCAGCATTTTAGGAAGGGGGAGGGGATGAGAAGGCTAGATCAGGAACTTAAGGACAGCCTCTGCTAAACATCAAGTTCGAGGTCAACCTGGGCTTCAGGCAGGGACGTCACTCCCAAGGGTGTTGTGTCATGTGGGAATATGATTGGGCCTCCCCAGGGCCATTTAAGAACAGCCTAGTGAAGCCGGTGTTGGACCATGCACCACGTGCACAAGCCTAGTGACTCATTCAAGGGCTGGTCATCTGGGCCCAGTTTCTCATCAGCATCTTGAGTTTGCTTGAAGGGTTCTCTGACTCACACTGAACATGTGTTCCATGAAATGGAAGGTGTAATCAACACCTGATGTCATTGTCCTCTTGAGATGCATCTCCCTTGTTTGTCTGAGAGCACCAGCCATCCTTTCTTTCAGTGGATCTGCTCCTCCACCACTGGAGAGCCTGGGAGTGGCTGTGAGCCGCAGTGCCTCAACCCTCATGGCCCAAGTAGGGGGAACACATGCTGCCCCTTAAAGTTGCAAACCGTCGTTGCATGCTACTCACAGGAAGGACAGCGTGTAAGGCCGTTGCAGCCACTGCTGCAGCCCAGGCCCCGCACGAGGCCCTTCACTTCTTCCTTCCCACTCAAGAGTGTGCCTCACATCTCTGAGGGCTTGAAGCTGCTTGGCTTGCGCTTGCCAGAGAGGTTTCTGGGCTTGTGACCAAAAGACCCGATTGTTTCTCTCTGCTGAGTCGACACATGTGCATTCTCTCTGCTTGCTGCATTTTGAGGCCCTGAAGGACTTAAGAGGAAAGGTTCACATGTGGAAGCCCTTTTGTGGGCCTTGTGGGCTGGACTACGACTCCACCCCTTGAGGAGAGAGGGTGGCTCCTGTGGGTCCTCCCTAGCCTCGGGGGATGCTCCTGTCCCAGAGCTGACACTAAGGGTCCTCAATGGGATCAAAGTTGGTCTGGAGGTGGGGTGGAGATCACACATGTCAGCATTTTAATGGAAAGCAGCTTTGAGGACAAGCTAGTTTAGTTTGGGATACAAACTACTTCCAAATGTGTTTAACACGAAGCACTGGCCATGTGTACAGATTATTTTTAATTTGTGTTCAAAGGCATTCCCGCCCCCCTCAGCAGTTAAAGAGGATAGAGCCGTGAGAGATGGAGGGAAACGTGAAAAGTGAGCCAATCAGGCGTCTTCAGTCTGGAGCAGGGTCACGGGCAGAAATACCAGCAAGTGTAGTGTTAAGAACGTGCCTTTGTCACACCGCTGCTTTTCCAGTGGACGCTGTCCGGCCCATCCCATGCAAACCCTCTGCAGGCAGGTTCCTTTCTTTCTGAGTATCCTGAACTCCTTCTTATCACCTGACTTGATCTGGAGCCCCTTCCCTCATCCTCCTGCCAACCCCCTCACCATCTCCTTAGGTCCCTTGAGGCTTAGAGCATTCTCTCTTTCTGGCCTTCCCTTGTCCTTCAGATATTTGATCACATCTCGCTTTAGATCCCAGGGACATCCCTGTCTGACTCATTGTATAAAGTAGTTCCCCACGTCTGAGTCCCGTTAACATCCTCCATCATGGGAGGGATAAGACTCAAGACTCCATACACCGGATATTTGCTGTCCTTCCCCATTTAAATAGAAATCTGACGCTACTTATCATTTAATTTTCCATCTTTTTTTTGGGGTGTGTGTGCTTAATATGTTGCTCAGAATAACCTTAAACTGCTGGGCTCAAGTGATCTTCCTATTTCAGCTTCTCAAATACCTAAGATTCAGGCATGTGACCCTGTGCCTGGCTTCACTGGATTTTGATTTCTCTGTCGTCTCTGTCTCTCTGTCTCTGTCTCTGTCTCTGTCTCTGTCTCTGTCTCTCTCTCTCGTGTGTGTGTGTGTGTGTGTGTGTGTGTGTGTGTGTGTGTGTGTGTGTGTGTGTGTGTGTGTGTCTTTTAGGATAGAGGTTGATGTCAGGTTACTGGCTGGCCAGCAAGCTCCAAGAATCCTCTTACCTCTGTCTCCCCAGTGCTGGGATCACAGCATTTTTGTAGGTTCAGAGGATTAAACCGGGGTCCTCATATGACTGAGCCATCTCCCCAGTTCTGTTTGTTTTTAGACTCAGCTTTCTTCTGCTGAGCATGAGGAACACATTTCATTTGGCCTTCAGGTCATGGGTGTTGCACAGCTGTGCTGGCTAGTCTTATGTTAACACACAAGCTGGTGTTATCTGGAAGGAGGGAATCTTAATTGAGGCAATGCCTCCATATGATCCAGTTGTAAGGCATTTTCTTAATTAGTGACTGATGGGGGAGGGCTCAGCCCATTGTGGGTGGGGCCATCCCTGGGCTGGTGGTTCTGGGTTCCAAAAGAAAGCAGGCTGAGCAAGCCAGGGAGAGTGAACGGGTATGTAGTGCTCCTCCGTGACGTCTGCATCAGCTCCTACCTCCAGGTTTCTGCCCTGTCTGAGTTCCCATCCTGACTTCCTTTGATGAACAGCGATACAGAAGTTTAAGCCAAATAAACCCTTTCCTCCCCAACTTGCATTTTGTCATGGTGTTTCACCAATAGAAACCTTAACTAAGACAACAGCATCTGCTCAGAGAAAAGCCAGGCCCCCAGCTCCCAAGTGTGATGTGTTAAGAGAGACACCATGGGCTAGTACTTAGCTCTTTGGAATCAGTTTCAGATGAGGAGGACTATGCAGCAGGCTAGCTGCACACTCTTGCCTCGTCTCCTGGTTTTGGAGTTTGGCTGGAGATAGCCCGTGCCAGGGCTACACTGAGCCTGTGGTCTTGGTACCTCAGAGTGCTGATGAGGCAATGAAACTTCCTGTGGGTTCTTTTCCCTGACGCCAACCACCAGGTAAATATTTGGACACAGAATTTATCCAGGCCAAAACTTTGGTCCCCCTCCCGCCCCCCATCCCACAGGCCTGTTTGAAGTGGCTGAGGCTTAGCCTGTAGGTACTGCTTTGCTTTATTTGCTGAGGGTCCTTTTACTGCCGAGCCTGCTGACAGGGCCTGAAGGCTGATGCTTGATCATGGAGTTCAGAGCAGGGTCACTTAAGGGTGTGTGGGGACTGGGGCTCTCATATTTAAAACTCTCATAATTTTTGGCCCTGCGCGTGGAGAGTCACCACTGGTGATCTGAGTGAAGAAGGCCTACGCAGTCTCTGGGGATGAGGCAGGAGCCAGGGAGGTGGGGTGGCTTGGGGTGGTGTGACTCACACGGGTTCTCCTCAGGCAACCTGATTGCCTGAGGATGCTGACTAAGCCCCTGAGCTCTTCTAAAAGCAAATCAGATAACCAAAGCTGTGCATCCTCTGGCTGCTGCTACTCTTCCCACAAAGTAAACTGGAGTCTGGAGTAGGCACACCCTGCCCCAGAACCTTCCTAGCTGGCTTTTGTGTCTTTCCATTTTGGGTGCATTTCTGCACTTCCTCCTGCTGCTCTCTTCTGTGGTCCCCTGTCCCAGAACTAGGAGAGCTTCTGCTGCAGTTGCCAAAGATGCCGCCAAGCCCGTTGATATGAGGAGGCTCCTATTGCTGGATTGATAGTTACCTTTTTTTAGGGAGGTGAGCGTCAATATTTCATGAGGAAAAGAATCACAGACAGGGATGTGGAGGGTGGCTTTTATTCTGCAGTCCAACCCTCTGTCCAGAAGTGAATGGTGGCATGGCTCCTTAGTTTTCTGACTGTAGTTCATTTTGGCATGTGAAAATATTTCACTTCCCCAAACTCAGAAGCGGAGTCCTTTGTGTTCTCTGGCCCCGTTTCAAGAACTTCGTTGATGGTTGAGGAAATTCTTTGGCTCCATTTTTCTCTTAATATGGCAATGCCTTTTTTCACTTTGGCACTCTTTGCAGGGAGTTAGGCGGAGAATACTGAGAACTAGGCAAAGCAAGTCTGGGGTCACTGGGAATGTCTCCTGTCCATCTCACCTAGGGGAGACAGTAGGGGCTCTATCTGATTGTTGTGAGCAAGACCACATGTTAGAGTCTAGATTGGCTGTCTGTAGCCTCTAGTCCGTATCTGACCCTCCATCTGTTTTGTAAATAAAGTTTTATCAGAACACAGCC